AAAAATATATTTAAACATTCTCTCGATTTTCAGTCATTTATGTATATAATTTAGGTTTTATTAGCGAAAATTTTACCGAAAGATGCACATTATGCGAAATATATTTTTATAATTGAATTTTCCAACGCATTACTTCGAGAAATTATTGTAATTTCTATAGTTGTACTTCCTGTCGTTAGTCCGAATAAGTGATATAGTTTACGACCGTGTAACCCACTTTCGAAACACGGTACAATCTTCAATGATGAAAGGGTTAATCTCTCTTTTATTAATTATTGCGATACATTATAAGAGCAGTTTGTTAAATTAAGTTCGGGAGAAGATAAAGCACAGATACGAAAGTATACTGGCTCGCGTAATTAAACCAAATTTTCGGCCAAGTCAGCACATTAATTAAGCGAATTTCGCTACCATCTGTGACCCTAGTAGATGTCATACACGGATATGGTTTACGCACGGCAGGTGGTCGCGTCGGCTGCCTTTTAACAGGAGTTTATTTCTGATACTATTTTCTATTTCTGTACTTCTCTGTACAACTTCTCTGTGCAACTCTCATATATCACATGCACTACTTTAAAGTTTGCAATTCTCGAATCGCGCATAATTCGAAAAAAAATTTTAATTAACTTTAATGAAAATTAAAAAAAAATATATATATATATATTTATTGATATTTTTTTATATGCGAAATGTCTCAACTTAAATAAAGAGCTGCATAATATCCGATCTTTAAATAACAAAGTTTTGTGTCTGCTAAAATTCTGAATGTTCGCCGGTAAATGGGGTGAGAAAATCTCGGGAAAGAAAGTATCAACGATGCGGCTATTAAGTCTGTTCGAAAGTTGCAGCGAAAGAGAGGAGGAGACTGCGGAGACGCGAGTTGCGAAAAGGCAGCCGAAGCGGCGAATTCGTGAACATCAAACGAATTAAATCTCTGCGGAGAGCCGACCGCAGAAACTAATATCTCGACGCACACCGCTTCTTCCGTCCGTCCGTCCGTCCGTCCGTCCGTTCGTTTACCGTTTCATCGTCGTGTCTCCACGTCCTTGTGCAAAAGTCGTTCGCTTCATCTTCGATTTTATTCATCAACATATTTGTAGATCCTAGCCTTATTTGAGAAGATTAAAATAATTGCCGCCAAGAGAATAATCATTGTGAAAGAGAGAGGCTCGATGAATCAAATAAAGAAAATACGATTTTACTGTTTAAATTAATTCGCCATGAATAATTTAAGATTACAATTAATATACAAATTGATATCAAATTGATAGGTTAATGCAACATTACAATTTAAATAATTATACGAAAATATGCATCCTCTCTACATGATATTAAAACTTCGGATCTTTTAAGTTTTTTTTTTCTTTCCTCCATTTCTTTCGTTTTTGCTTTGGATTGACATTTGTGAACATACATGTTGCAGTTACTTTGATTGCAGTGCAATCGACGTGTGTGTAATCGATTCAATATGTCTCTCGTGAAGGCCTCTCGCCTTCGTTAAAGCGCTTGACGGACTTCAACTCTGTAATTATTTTCCCGAAGTCCATAAATCGGAAATTAATGTTCTCTGGTATACTGGTTATTAATATTTCTATGTGATGTCGACTTCATAAACATAGCTAAATTAATCGGTCCGCAAATAGACCTATTCGTTAGACAGGCGATTACGTTCCGCGTACGTCCAATCCACTTATCACTCACGTATAGAAGTGATTGTATTTTATTCTTTTGAACTACGTACTTTTCATTCGTCGTTGATTCTACCGGATGTTTTGAAAGCAAAATAGTTTGAGAATGGAAATTATTAAAACTAATATAGAATGCATTTACGACTAACATTAACATTTTTTTGTCTCGATTTTAATATGTTTGAAATTTTAACATTATTTGACATCCAACGTTAAACACAAATGTCAGGTTATCACAAGAAAATATCACGGATCGAATAAAATACATTTCCAGCACACATTTGACGTTAAATATCATAATAATCATATAAATTTCACTTTAATTGGTGTTGTAAAGTAATTAAAAACAGTAATAGTAAAATTACGAAAGCATTCTTCTAGATAAGACAAATTGTCTCGTCAAAAACGAGACGACCACCTTACATGACATCGTTTGCGTCGGTCGGTGAGAATTTTTTAAGTGGACTGTACGGTCGGGTTGCGCAGGTGTGACCGATGGCGGCGGCCTTTGATCCTGGAGCGACTCTCCTCGGCTACTTTGTCCGCGACTCATCGCGCCCGCCTCTCTTTTTCGTCATTCAGTTCGATTATTTCCTAATGGCTAACGCCATTGCGAAAACGGCCGTCGCGTTATATTCTCCGGTAAACATTATGCAAGGCAAAAAATGCATAGGGGCGCCCCGGTTGTCCGCTAACGACGTTAATTGACAATATTTTCCTCATCCAAGGGTCAACGCGAGGCATAACTAAAATTGTGAAACGGGAACCGGTATTACGCGGCGTCATCCACTAATAAGATACGACGGCGGGCAGTGATTATTTTAGACTTCGCGAGGAGGCGATTATATATACGGCACTAGCCGATCGAATCGATACGGTAATTTTCTTGTCAGGCTTTACTAATTATCTTAAGATTTAAAAATCCCTCAATTCAATGATCCCCTAAGATACAACATTAAATCCATCATTACTGATATTACTTATATTTTTAGTTTAAATTACTTTATTACAGTTATTAATTTTTTTGTGTACTGTGTGGAACTTATTATCGAAATTGAGAACGGAAATTAATTGAACTTTATCGTTTGTCAACTTTTATAATAAAGTTTCTTATAATAAAGTGACGTTTAGTGAAATTTTAATGATATCGGATTGATGAAATGTTTAAAAACTAATGTGAAAACGAAACATTATATAATACATTATTCTATAGAGAGGCATATGTTATAAGGATCGATATATGAATAACCTTTTTCACCTTTTGTTGTAAATTATTCAACCTCTCATATCGTTAGCCTTGGTAAATAATGCTGCAGCACGTGTTCGAAAAACTGGACTGCAATGTCTACCTTCATCGAACAGTGTTCGATAATATGCGACGACGTAGATGATTGCTTTAACTGACTGCCTCTTAACCGGCAATTAATTTATAATAAGAGACCGATTTAAGAAACTTGCTGCGATAATAAACTCGCGACGAACTTGCGATAAGATACGATGGAAGTCAGAACTTTTTAAAATGGCAATTTATTCTCACGGAACATATTTAGGTACAAAAAAATTAGTAATAACCTGCTCAGGTACTTGATTTCTGATATATACGATTTAAACCTTAATTGTTTAATTAAAAAACTATTGATTTTTTTAGGTAATCTAGGTATGTTAGCTGGAGAATACATATGCCTAATTAATATAATGCATTGTAAAATAGAATTATTTTCATAAAATATTCATAAATAGTTAAAGATCGTTTTTAAACCCGATACTAAAGGTGAACGTTTGGTGAGAACACTTTGAACTACAGCTTTAGTTGGATCATTGGGAGCTACGATAGTTATGGCCTCGGAATTCCGTGATCTGAGCACCGTAACGAATGCGTAATACTTTTATGGGGGAGAACCCTTCCGCGTCTCGAAAATAAATTTAATTTGTAGCCTTTACTGGACGATTCTCTAGCTATAATTTCAATAGTTGCTTGAAAAAGAACTTTGTTTGCATCTCCCGCTCGATCGCCACGAAGTTATGAAATTTTGATATTATAGATAAAATATATATTTCAAAAATTAAACACATGCATATATACGCATATTATACAAAGAAAAATCTTACAAATTGTTTGCATCAATTTTTCGAATTAATGAGAATTGGGAATGCAAGAAGAATAAACCACGTACACTTTGGAAAGACTTATGCTAACTATGTTGCAGCCTTGATTGGTGCAAATGAATTACGATTGCTAATTTAATGCAACAGTGTAATGTCTACCATAAACTCTGTTTCATAGAAACAACTGTTCGCCAAAATGCCGTTATTTGCCGCGCAGCTGCATGTTCCTCAATCTCTGACCGGCATATGTTGCCGTTTATTGGCAATCTCGTGGAATTAATTAATAATCGTCTTGTCCCGATTACTAGCGTACACGTATATCCCTTAGTTACTAATGATTTTGCAAATCTACATAGCGAAAGCCAACATATGCCAGATCAAATCTGTAATAACATATATCTATTGATAATATCCTTCTTATCGTATCTATCTTATTTTATTCCCGCGTAGTAACGCGCATTAAATAGCGAAAACGATAAAGCACGCAGCGCGAACTAAACGTCCGTTTAATTTTCTAATACTCCTTTTCCGTGCAACTATCGCATTTTACACTTAGCGCACTTTTGCCGAGTATTTTTTTCCGCTGCATAAGTTCACGAGCAATTACTCAGACGACGTGGACGATAAAATCTTAATACACCTATTCGTATCGGTAGCTAATTATCGCATTGCGTTTCTGAGAGACACGCTTGGTTGAGACGGACGGTCTTGTTATCGGCAGGATTTAATTGCTGCTGAATCGACGATTCGTTTGCGGTCTTGCGCAATACTCGCGCCTTCGCTCATTCATTATCCGCGCGCGTAATAAGCGGTGATGCGGTGTAGCGCTACCCACGAAAGCCGAATCACTCTCGGATCTTTCGCGAAAGATTGCATGGATCACTGATAAAATTATACTCCGCGATAAAACGCTCTTTTAATTATTTTTATCGCTCCAAGTCGTTTCCCTCTTGTTTCTTATCGCTGCAGCGTTGCTTCTTGCCAGTCTTTTTGCAGATTGAAATTTTGATTACACATAGGTATGATAATTTGCACGAAATAAGATGAATCCTTTCGCACATATTTGAGTAACACGACTCTTGCATCAGAATCCAAATTTTTACATACAAAAATGCATAAAAAAATTAAATAGTGTGTGCGTTATCGCACAATGTGTTAAGGAAATACGAGAATACGACTAATTGTGCCTAATTTTCTATGTTACAGAGCAAGCCAACCACTTGAACCTATTCAATAACCGTCAGCAGCCGAAGAAAAAGCGCAAGAGTCGAACCGCCTTCACGAATCAACAGATTTTCGAGCTGGAGAAGAGATTTTTGTATCAAAAGTACTTGAGCCCAGCCGACAGGGACGAGATCGCCGCTCAGCTCGGTCTCAGCAATGCCCAAGTGATCACGTGGTTCCAAAATAGGAGGGCGAAGCTCAAGAGGGACATGGAGGAGCTTAAGAAGGATGTGCAGACTGTGAATCCACTTCTGGTCGCACAACATCACAAGACTTTCCTGGAGAACGTGCAAGACTTGGGAATCTTGAAAAAACGACCATTGCCAAACTCTATGGACGAGAAATCGTAGAACGCTCGAAATCGCCTCTTCGACTATTCGTGTGCAATCAAAATTCCACGAAAGACAACAACTGATAGTTATTCGTACGACGATACCAAGTATCTTCGACCGAGTAATGATTGAATCGTGACACACGATGTCGTGTTATGGCGCATTATTCGGCGTAGTTTCTTTTTTATGTGCGACTCAAATTTCTGGTGCATTCTAAGTCCTTCCTAAGAAAAATTCTACAATAATGGACATCTCGGATCTAACACTACTACAATATTCAACACTATCTATCTAATAGTCTACTACGATTCAATCTTGAAGCTCATTTTCTGAAATTCTGTAAAGTTAATTGTTGTTGCATCCGCGGTAAGAAAAGTATCCTGTATTACGGTACAAAAAGCAGTAACGATTCCATAAACTGGAAAACGATCCAATAAAAACGAAAGAAAGCTGTCATTCAAAAGTGTCAAGGGAGATGTTGTTTTTGTCGGAAGTAAAAGTGGCGATTTTACGTCGTAACTTACGGCTTTAAATGGAAAGCGTATGATAGTCTGCTGCGAGTTTACGCGCGGAGCGCGGGATGTATTATAATGTATTTATTATGAAATTGAGAGAAAATGTGAGAGAGAATGAATCGCGCGCGAGGAAACCAGGATCGTCGATAATAAATTATTAAGTGAATATTATTCCGTAAATTATAAATAATCACGCGCCATCGTGTACATATAATTGTATATACGTAGATATACATCGTTCCCTTGATAATATTACGTATAGACATACTCTTTAGAGTCGTTATATATGATTAGAATAAAAACGATCGTAAACATAGATGGGACACTGCAATATACCTGATTATAAATTTAATTAGTGAATTTTAGGGGCGAGTAAGATGTATATCTGCATATGGCGATTCGTAAAGTGATAGTGAGGTGCGTGAGAGTAAACTAGGAGCGCGTGTGTAAACCGACTTAGTACAGTGTATAGTGAAGCTAAATAAATGGAAACATCATTCAAACTGTTTGCGTATCAACTTTGATCCTATAATCCTTCCTTTCACTTCTGTTACGTCAAGTGACATTTGTCTCAAACTTGAGACAGACAACGTAGAATAAAATTATTAATACATTTCGAAGTAAGAAATTCGCAAATTAATTAATCATTAAAAGGTATTCTGTTTTCATGCATCATCTAAAAATAAAGAAATTGTATAAATATTTATCTTCAGATTGCTTTAACGTAGCACGATTTGCATTTTATTGTACTTTGCGTAATACTATGGGCGGTAAATGAAACGCAACATGCGTCGGCGTGTACTGGTAAAGAGCTACAAACGCGCGGTGCATAAAGATGAAAAGGAATTATTCTCCAAAAATAGCATGCACCGCATTGCGGCCCTTCTGAGAATCTTTTTGAAGCCATTCGCGAGGTTTACCCAAAGACGTAATTTATTAAGATGAAGTCATTTCGCCTTTTCCACGTTGTATCCGTTCGTGCGGAGTCTGGTACTCATCATAACCAGAACGCTTTTGCGACCGATAGATTAGAGCTCGGGTCTGCGAACTAAGAAATACCGAAATGCTGTGAAATGACCACATCCGAAATGTGCTCCTATTTTCTCGCGCAAATTTAAAATTATAAAAATCCAAAATTAAAAATTATTTGCACTAAATTCATCTAAAGTTAAGTTTTTCTGAGCGATAATTTAACGAGCATTCATTATTAACACTCGGAATTAACAGTTGAAGTTTAGTTAGAATTGTCTAAAATAAAAGATTTTATTATTTTTAATGACGTTTCTAAAGCGTTCTCTAAAATTTCCTTCGATTATAGAGCGATGCAGTTGAAAAACAGGGAAAAATTTATAGTTCAAAGGTGGAATACACATAAATTTTGGTATTAAAGAAAGAGTTTCAATAATGCAGAGACCTAAGTGACACAAGATATCCATGCACTTGCAAAAGCCGCCGGGAACTTATTAGAAATGTTGAAAGAGCGCGAGGTACACTCAAGACAAGACATATAATAAGCATATACTTAACGCGCGTAATACACGTAATCAGATCCGTTATAAACATCCTAGATTCGACCCGATTAATCTATTGCGCTGCCAGCAACACGCGTTTTATATCGCTGATAATGACGACAGGTTAATGATAGTCTCATTAACGAGACCTCATATCAAATGGTTCCGTTTAGCATCAGATATTCAAGTAACAGGAAGCAGGTTGGTAATGTCGAGCTATCTGCTCGTATATCAAGCATTGCGAGACTCGTCGCTGATATGCGATTATCCGCTCGATATATATTTATGAAGTTTACGTAGACTAATACATCTGCTTTACAAAATACTTTCGAGTTCCCGTGCATTTATATTCGCGTATCTTCGCAGATCCAGATCTGCGGAGATATGCGAAAATTCTTAAACATCCGGTGCTTTAAGAAATCGACTGTTTATTGCGCTCGTTATGATCAACCTGATCGATACATGCCATCATCGGAAAGCGAAGGCTTTGATGATCCGTAGATTCGCGGAACTTAAAAATTGAAGATTCGATAAATAAAAAAATTGGAATTGAAGTCATCGATTGTCACAAAAAATTTCTAGATTTATGCAACGGGCGCGAAAGTGTTTGGTACATGTCGGCGGTGCGAGTCGAAACAGAAACAGTGCGATTGTTGTACAAATTCAAACGAAATGCGAGGCAGTTCGTATCCATCGCTGCTATCGATGGACCCATATATGAAGCAGTAAGCAAGGTAGCTCGCACCGCCCTGTAATTCAGACGCCGCAACATCCAAATAAAGAATTCATAATGGCGATGATGACCACCGCCAATTTTCTCCGATATATCCGATACACCAATAATTCAGGTGATCCCGGGCTATAATGAGCGTGCAATATCGTTCATTGTCCTTCAATGCTCCCCGAAGCGCGTTATTCGCGGCTCCATGAGATCGCGCGCGACATTAACGAATTATCGTTTAATCGCGACAATCCAACTGAATCGTACATTCGTATCTTTACCGCACAAGTTTTATTATTGCGATCGATACGGACGCGGAATCGTGCGTGGCTCTGTCGACTATACGGATTTTGCAATTAATTTGCGGTTTACTTAATGTCGCGAGACCGTATTTTAATTATTTTCGATATATCGCCGGTGATTAAATGGCATTGCGAAACGACGCTCGCTAATACGAGTCGCGGGAATCAAGTTTATTTAATGTATTAACAGATTGCACGAGAAATGAATGTTATTATATCAGATTATCGAAATATTAATTTCGTGGCAATTATCGGTTGGCGCGACGGCGGCGGCAAGCTGAACCGCCCTCGTTTACACGCCGGACTCGAATGAAAGTTTTAAATGATTCGATTAAAAACTTGTCTCTTCATTTCGTTTAATTGAATCTCACGAGTTTTCATCTGAGCAATCTTGCTCGTAATAATATCGAAGAACGAGAAGCACGACCGTTCGAAAACAACAATTTATAACAGATTTCAGTTAAGGAGTTTCTGCCTGCGGATATCTCGGCAATGCTGTTCTATACATCATTATAATTAATGTGACAAAAATATGAGGAAGAGTCCAAGACCGCATTATTCTGATCATCAAAATTCTAAAGACGTCTAAACACTAGATATTATTTTAAGAAGAATGATCGGCTGGTTATTTAATGTCAACGATTTGTCCAAGTATTTAAGATGACAAGAATGAGAATAATAAATGAGATTGTGAAAGTATAGAATTTTTGTACGCCGGCATTTGCATTCCACATATACAAAGTTTATTATTCGCGCGAAATGATCAATAGATCAAGACGCACTTCATGAGTTTTATATTATGCTAATTCGTCTCTCCATGAAAACATGCGAGAGTATCGCCGCACGTGTCATCGACCGCGGCTACCGAACGCCAGGAAAGCCGGTAAAGGCAGCGCGTGCGAGCGCATTATCCCGGTGTTGTTTTGCATAACCTCGCCAGAAGATACCTGCACAACGGCTCGCAGGGCTCATTTTCCCGGCATTGACACGCCCACGTAATTCGGACTCATTTACTCGTTGACTCGCTTAACCCGCAGCCAGTCATGCGTCAGTCAAGCCGGCGCGCGGAGTGCCGCAGATCCATAATTTCGATTCGAACCGTTTCAGCACGCGAGAAACGAGTTTTCCCCGCTCTGCGCGCGATGTAATTAGACGTGGATCTAGGCCCCGGCCCATCAGCGGGGTCTCGTTAATGCGATATCTCGACCCCGCACCCCGCGTAATCTCTCCCATCGGTCGATTCTAGCGCGCCGAAACCTCTCTCGCCCGCCCGCGCTTCCACATTTCGCTCGTTGTCCTTTTTTCGATTCCTCATAGACCGACTTCTTTCACGCGGCTGATTTCTACCTGCGCGGTCTTTCATCTCGTCTTCGCCAACGAGGTCCATTTACACGGCGGGAGGACTTCTTTTGGGTGGACTAGCCACGCTGCGGCTCTAGCTAACGAGAGCTCGTAGCCTCGACGATGGAAGATTAATATGTGGGAGTGTTTAGGCAGGAGTGGGTGGGGGATCGAGACGATATATTATTCGCGCGGTTGGAATCTCGCAAAACGGTACCTTAATTAGATAACAGGCGGTGGCTGAGTAACGATTTTTTTGCGGCTTATGATTTTAACAGTAATAAATGGACTAAACTAATAATTAATTTTTAGAAACGTAATTTTTTAGAAGCGCAAAATGACGTATAAGACGCAAAAAAATCATTTTTGCGTTTATATAACAAATTTAATTTACGTTTCTCAATTATTGAATACCGTTTTATCCAATTTCATTCACTTCTCCACGTCCAAGTTTGTTATGCTCTTTGAATAAAAGAAATCGTGACGTAATACTAATTACAGTGCTATTAATAATCATGCTAATCGCTGGGTTAAACAGATGGAGTCTGACTGAAACTCTAAAGTGATTAATCCTTTCACACGCGTTATCGGATAAAACGGGTCTGGAAAACGCCGGGTCGCGAGAGCCGCGCGTTTCACTTGTGAGATAGAAGTGATGGAAAGCGTATAGGCGTGCGAGAGCCCCGTTCGTCGTCGGCATCGTTGGCGCGAATGGGACAGCTGATGGGCCGGTGTCCCCGAAGGCGATCGGCCGAGACCAATCAGCGTTCGTTCGTCCGTCCGCACTCTAATGACACCTGCAGGCTAAAAAGCCATGATATTCAACAGCCGGACGCTAACGAACTCTGCCGCGTACCGCATGAATTGCGGTGGAAACGCAAAAACGGGAATGCAATTGCAATACTTTATACACTAAGCGATTCATCACTTGAAAATTTGTTACATCTGCCAAATAAAAGTTCCTTAAATTCCTTCAAATTTCGACATGTCACATGTTTATCTTTTGAACTTGGTCACGTTATGCATTTATCAAAATACATGAGCTCGAAATAAAAATGATTTAAGAAAATGTGTGAAAAATTCGGAGCAAAAGAACTGATAAGACGTAATAAATAAATAGGTATTTTAAGGATTCTTCCCGCAGAAAATTCTGCCAGTGCGGAATGTCGTGGCGCGAACAGTGCGATGGCGATCAATTCGTTAACAAGAAGATGGTGCAGTTTTCAGAGCAGTAATCTAATAAGAGCCGATTCCGCGCAAAAAAGCTCCAAAAAAGCTCCCTGTACGCGTTAATTCCACCTTGTTTCGCGGATCACTCGCAGTCGACGGTGGTGTTCGCGAGGCGCTATGCGTGCGTATAGAATGATCACGAATTACGATGACGTCAGGTTGACGGAACGGAACGGGTACTGGATAGGTTAATGGTAAGGAGGTACCGGGACCGAGGCAGAGGGTCTGCCAGCGGCTCGGCTCCTGATTACAGACCACCGGATACTCTACACTCTCGCTCTCACTTCGGTTATTGTACCGAGCGGTGCCGGGACACCACTATAGATCACGGGCCGTCCGGCAGTTTGTCCGATCGGCGCGGCACAA